CTGGGTTGGACCATTCATAAAGGGTCAAAGCAGCCCCCCTCCTTAATGATCAAAATTGTGTCGATGGGGACATTAACAACTTTTCCAATATTTACAGTAAGGTACAATACTCATGCTGCGAGGGGTACGGGGGTCTAATGTTAAATGATGGGTAGTTGGCAGGTGCTTTTGTGTGGTTTGCTTCTACTTCTATTGTCCTAATCTCTCCTTTTTATTGTTTGTAACACCTCTAATTTGTGGCACTTATACGACCTTATTGTGCCGTAAAACTCTTACTAGTACAATAAATTAAATGTTAAATATCACTTGATCTCATAGCTAAGCGATGTCTGTGTAAGTTGTGAAAGGGGCGTCTTTGATGAATGTGGAAACAGACACCTTTTTAGTACATGTATTTCATTCTCCCATTTTTCCTTTCGCATTTTGTTCATTTTTTTTTGGTTCAATGTCTTTCTTACTGCTCCTATTGTTTTAGGCATACTATGTACAGATGATCATCATATCGAGATTCATTTTCTTATAATGTGCTGGACAGATTATTTATTTTTGATGCAATGAATAAGTAAACTTGTACAGACCTCAGCCTGGTTCTGCTGATTTTTCTTCTTCTGTTTTTCTTTGTTTGACGTATGCGTGATGGTGCAAACTTGCGGGCTTGCACACACACACACACCCACACACACCCACCCACACACAAACACACACACACACATACACACACACACACACACACACACACACACACACACACACACACACGAAAATTGCGGGTGCAACTTATCCTCAAGTATCTCTTTAATGGGAGAATCAATGTCACCCATACTTTGCATAGCAGTTTATATCACTTTGTCTTAACTAAATCATATTTTTCCAGAACAATTGGGGCTAGATTTAAAAACTTTTCTTCATAAATTTATATAAAATACCTAACATTTCTGTTACACGTTAAATGGGACTGTTCACAGTGCTTCCCGCTTCTCACACATTTTGCGTACGCATTTATTATGGCCTACGTCACAGTTCATCAATGACAATTTTTATTTGCAAAACTTGTTAAAAGAAATTATTGTTATAGTGAACGCATTTTTTGCACTAATGGCACTCAAATCTGCGTTCAATAAGCATAATGTCCCGATTAGAAAAACCTGACGGATTTGCTATTAAAAGCAAAATTGCCCCAGCTGCAAACATTAAAAAATCAGTAGAAACCACCCCTTGGACTTTCGATTAGTATTTATTAAGGAATTTTCTAGAATACAGCTTGCAGGTGTTTACAAAAATGTTGATCTGTTAAGACAAATTGATACAAGTCACTGTGCAAACATTGGAGAACCTATGTTCGATAGTTAAGAAGATACACGTATTTGAATATAAGTCGCGCCACGAATTTTTAAACGTACCATAGTGCGGTCAAAAATTCGCGGCGCAACTTATCCTCTGACATCTCTCTTTAACGGGTGAAGCAATGTCATTCACACTTTGCACAGCATTTTGTCTCAATTTGTCTTAACTGAATCATATTTTTCCACAACAGTTTAGGCTAGATTAAAAAAAACTTTTCTTCATAAATTCATATAAAATACTACACAAATCTCCTGCACGCAGAAAATGTAATTGTTCACAGCACTTCCCATTTCTCACACACATTTTGTATACGCATATGGCCTACGTCACAGCTCACCATGATACTTTTTAGTGGAAAAACTAGTTATAAAGAATTAATTTTATAGGGAACACTTTTTTGCACAAAAAGTTATCTAAATATGGGTTCAATAAAGATAACCTCGCAATTAGAAACAAATGACGGACATGCTTTTATATGCAATATTGTCCCAGCTGTAAACCTTTTAGAATCAGGAGAAACCACCCACTAGGATTTTATATTAGTATTTATTAAGGAATTTTCGAGAATAGAGCTAACAAGTTTTTACAAAAATATTGATCTGTTAAGACAAATTGATACAAGTCACTGTGCAAAAGCTGGAAAGTTTATATATGGAAGATAGTTAAGGAGATATTTGACAATAAGTTGCGCCACGAATTTTTGACCGCACTATAGTAGGTCCTACTTCTTTTCCTTTCCTTTGTCAGTTCTATCTCAGCCATCAATCTTACATTTTCCTGCACTAAACGACCACAGTGTGTCGATGCCCCCCCAAAAACAAACAAACAAACAAACAAACTCACAAAAAACAAAGAAACAAAGAAACAAAACTAACAAACAAACAAACCAGATCCCATTGTCAGACCACAGAATGTTTTATTTATACTCGTATTTCGGTTTCACTTTTTTTGACAAGTACCAAGTCATCACAGTGCTTCCCGCTTTGCCGAGAGCAAACATTTAACATACTCGTAATAGACTGAATACATTATAAATGTCTGATACAATGGAATGACATGGATTCATAACTAAATGAGAACATCATATTGGAACCTCTTAAGTTTAAGAGTTTGAGTTTAAAACGGGGTGCCCGCCTGACTAGGTAGCCTAATACGGGGTGCCCACTACTGCTGGATCGGACCGATCGCCCGACTCGATCGCCTGAAACTGAACAAACACGTTTGTTTTTTAGGCGATCGAGTCGGGCGATCGACCCAATCGGCCGATCCCGTCCGTATTGGGCACCCCGTATAAAAAAACCAAACGTGTTTGTTTTCAGTTTCAGGCCCGATCCAGCCGTATTGGGTACCCCGTATACGCCCTTATCAACACTATGGGGTCATTGAAGAGACAGGACCTCCGAATTTAACGTCTGTCTCCGATAGGAATATAAGACAGATTAGCTGAGAGCCTTGAAAACTCCACAAAACGACCCGAGTTCAAGAACACCAAGTTTGAGATACGAACCAGGGCCGTCCGCTCCTTTCTAAGATGATACTAACTGAGCTAAGGGAGCGCCTTTAATATTCCTTAAAATATATATTTATTTATTTATGTGTATATGTATTTATTTATATATTTATTTTTAAAAATTGATTTATTTATTAATTAATTAATTAATTAATTAATTAATTAATTAATTTATTTATCTATTTATTTATTTATCTGTCTATTTCGGGGGTATGCTGTGAAGGAAATAACTTTTTATTGCAGGGAAAATGTATCGCTTTGGTTATGTGAACCGGTACCTTAAGTGTACTGATAATGCTTTTCGACGTTACTCTCAGAAGTGAGTTCGATCCCAGGGTGGGAGAATTTATTTCATCGAGTATCTGTGTCTGTCTGTTGGATTTTTTGTAGCCCACTCAGTCCATCTCAACACATACTCTCTCTCTCTTTCTCTCTCTCTCTCTCTCTCTCTCTCTTCACACAC